GAGACGGCTCGGGGGGAGGGGCGAGGGGAGGCAGGGAGGGTGGAGGGGTGCGGCGGGCAGGGTGGAGGCGCGGCGGGGTAGGGTTGGGAGGGAGGGAGGGAGGCGGTGCGGCGGCGGGGAGGCGGCGGCGCGGAACAGCGGGTGCGGCGGCGGCCTGGGTAGGCGACGGCGGCGCGGCTAGGGCTGGGGATCGAGGGTTAGGCTGATACCATGTAGAGGAATATGATGCAACTCTCAATGTATTGATAGGTGCATATGCACAAGTATATATAGTACATAGGGCAAGTCATATCCTCAACTATACACAAGGAGGAGACTTGGAGTACAAGAATACATGTGCTAAATACATATCTCAACAGGGGCTGCCCAAGCATCAATACCATTTACGATCATTAGAATAAGTATTATTAACATTCCTAAATTCAACCTGTACACATAATAATGTTCTCCTAACAGCCAACATTTCAAAATATGCCGTGAGGGTTTTAGATCAGAAATCAAGAAGCTCAACTCATCTTACTTTCCTTTTTTTATGAGATGGTGGAATAGTAGCTAGATCTATACCATAGAAATAAGTATGTGCATGTAGCCGACAAGGTGTATCGTACGATTTACGGTACATATCCTTATCAAATCCCAGATGCAAGTGCAATCCTGCAACTATTATAGGCATAGAATACGTAGAAGAAAGAAAGCAGCTGAGAAATACAGGAGTAAAAATACTACACAGTTTCGGAACCAAGAGGTACAAAGGACAAAATTCGAAAACAAGAGGTTCAAGGACAGCATATATATCAACATACTACCTCCGTTTCAGTTTACAAGTCCTACGCATATACCTAGATTGCCAATTTTATCATCCTAATATAAACTATATAACACAAAAATTATACCTTTTGAAAGTAGAAACTCCGAAGCTTTAAACACCCCTCTAAATGTTATTATCAGTAATGAAGTTTCTCTGACAAGTGACAGCTAAGAAGTTCAGCTATACCAATATGTGCAGATGGAAACGGTTGAGGGTGTTCAGTTTATTTACCTCCATTTGTGGCAGATGCGATCCAAGGGATTTTAATGGGCTGTGAGACTGCAGCAACTGTGAAGAATTAGAAATGATGCTTATAGCCGTCCCCTTGATTAGTTCATCTGGTGTTCTCTAACACTGAACCATTCTAGGTTTCAACGAATTCAAAATACTTCACCTGATTTTGCAGCTGATGAGCACCAAGGACAATTAGCATCACCTATGAAAACTGGAGCACCTGAAACGAATTTCGCAGACGACGAGATGTAGCCAAACACTGTGTTCCAACTTCCAACTAATTAATTTACCTGCATTTGAGACTGATGAGGTCCCAGTGTTTTTCCAATCTGTGCAGTAAGAGCAGAGAAGTGGTTTGTAACAATGATGGATTAGAAAAATGAACAAGGAAAATACTCGCATCAAAGTAAGATGAGTTAGCTCAATCTTTCTTTGTAATGGTAAGACAGCTGTGAATTAATCAAATTACCTTCCTTTGCATCTGATTGAAGTGGGTTCCCTTGATGGAGCACCGGAAGTTTACCAGCTTTTAAACACTCTAAATGTTATCAAGCGAGTTTATCAGCACACAGGAACTCACAAAGTCAGAGAGATTTCGGCAAACAAAGCAACATCACAAAACTATAATATTATCAGATATGCTCTTTACAAACTTGAATTTGATTAGATGGTCAGAGACTTGTTTTTACCAATAAGATCTGCTGCCCGGCCGAGTGCATCCTCGGGCAATCCTGCAATTGAAAACGTACCAAATATTAACTGCCGCACATATGCACAGGGAGGGAGATGTTCATACCATAAAGTGGGTTTGCAGAGTGCACGCTGCAAGAATCAAGCAAAATGTGTGAATGCCAAGTGAAAACTCCGAGACAGCACTGTGGAACTGAGCACCGCTTAGTCTGATGATAATTAATCAAGTTGTATCTTGTAAATACCTCCTCTTCCAGTTGAGATAGCCCTTGGCAATTGCCTCTGGCTTTGGCCGCCGGAATTGTCCCCTCCGGTGGCGCCTTGGACGAAGTGGGCTACCAAATTAAACATGGTCATGTGGGGGATGATCAGAATGACATGTGGGGTAGTTGATACTCGAACAGTAAAAGATTGGATGAATGCATGAATTGATACGCAGGAACCCACGCACCCGATGGGAAGCAAGTCCTGCGGGCGACCTGGGCCGCCGGGCAATTGCAACTTGCGTCTCAACTCAGGAGTCTGGAGAGCCAAGTCATCGGCAACCCACGATGCCTTCTCCCTCACCAGTATCCAGTCCAGGGACGCCCTACAAAGACATGCATCACTCATGTGAGGCTCCGCAATGGCAAGTATCTACTCCCTCCGTTCCTAAATATTTGTCTTTCTGAAGATTTTAACAAGTGACTACATACAAGACAAAATGAGTGAATCTACACTCTAAAATAAGTCTACATACATCCGTATGTTGTGCCCATTTAAAATGCCTAGAAAGACAAATATTTCGAAACGGAGGGAGTAGAACAGTGTCTCCAAACATTATACTATCCGGTACGTACGTACCTGAATTGCGGCGAGTGGAGTGTGTATTGGAGGATGGAGTTGAGCTTGGCGTTGTGACTGGACATGCTCGTCAGGAGTTCGAGGTGGCGGTGCACGGTGCCGTTCACGAGGCCGCCCGCCGAGCACGCGGCGACGTTGGCCAGCGACCAGAGCGCGTGGAGGAAGACGAGGAGGGAACGGGTCTCGACGCCCCGGTCGAGGGCCGGCGGCAGGAAGCGCGTCATGTACTTGACGGCCTCTCTCAACTGGCCCCAGACCACCAGCTGCCGCAGATGCAGCCTGCTCATCTGCCGCACATCCGTCTCATGCACGACGCTGCATCATCGCATACATACAAGGCAGGGGTGCGTTAGCCTAGCGGCAATGAGACGAGCAAAGGTGAAACGGCGTGCGGGCGGGCAGGCGGGCGTACCTGTCGTAGGCGGCGTCGAAGCCCTGGAGCCAGAGGTAGGTGAGGAGCCGCCGGTTGCGGAGCCGCCTCACGAACGGATAGTCCTCGACCTTGCCGCTGCCGAGGCGTATCATCTCCATCGGTTTGCCGCTGACGAGGTCCGTGATCTCCATCCGCTCCATTGCGCTGGATAAAGAGACTCGCTAGGGAAGAGACAGGGGAACACGCCTACTCTATATGAAGCGACGTGCATGTGATGCGGGAACCACAACCGAGCGCTCTCGTCCCCAGTCGTCCCGCTCCCGGTGCCCACTGCCCACAGCCTTTTTTTTTCTCTTGTACCACCTTTGCCCCCTATCTTTACCGGTTTACCGTCCCGAACAAAATCCGGATTGTTCGCGTTGTAACACGATTTTTTTTTGTATATGTAATAATTATTGTGATTTACTTTTTCTGTTCCAAAATAATTAAAGTTTTTTCTTTCTTTTGAAAAACTTATGATCTATTTATCTGCAATCATGGCAATACATTGAACATCAGCGTTGACCACCTATCGACGACTACAAGTACCGAAAAGAGGCGAAGGTGCGCCACCGTCGTCGTCGAAGTCGGGCAAAACTTTAATATGATGATATGTCTAAAGAAAGATATGATTGTCGAGTTATCAACATAATTAACCCAGAGAAGAACACCTGAATGGCACTCAAAAGGAATACACAAACACACCTTTCAAAGATAGTACTTTTTTCCCAGAAGGGGGAAGTACATCTATGTATTTCCTCTTCGTATTTCTTCTTCTTCGAGGTTCAAGGTTTCTTAGGTTTTGTTTGTATTTTTACTTCTTGACTGGTGTTTCTTTGTGTAAAGGCTAGCATTCTGCTATTTTTTTAGTTTTGCCATATCGGTATGTACGTGGCTTGTACTATGATCCTTATAATATAAACAGACATATATTACCATGCAAAAAGAGTGCATTTGGCGTGTGCGTGTTCCCCTTAAGATTCATATTTTCCTTTGGCAAGCGGGAGACTTCCCGCGGCGGACCAAATTCGTAAGCGCAATGGTCCTGATTTTGTATCCTGTGTGGTGCCCTTGAGGATATTGACCACATCATTTTCAACTGCGATCTAGCCAAATTGTTCTGGAGTTGCACTCAGTCTTGGCTGGGTTTAAATTGGGCCCATGTACTTCTTTTGCTCATGTTATTGATCTTGCTAAAACCTTATCTGGGCAACTGAGTAGGATCTTTTGGTTTGGCTTTGCAGCTTTGTCCTGGGTTCTCTGGACTACTAGGAATAACTAAGTTCTCGATTGAACATGTTTTTCCTAACAAGCTTGCTGATTGTATTTATAAACTGCTTAACATTTTACGGCAGTGGAAGTCTCTGGTTAAAGTCGGCAACAAGGAGGCCACAGAGTTCCTCATTTCTCGTATCAAGACCACGACTGATGCACTTAATGAACAGAAACAGGGATCCGTCGTTGGTCTGATGCTTCTCGCAATTCTATCATTTGCTTTTTCTGTTCATAGGTAGATGGCATGTGTGCTTTTCTGTCATCTTTGACTGTAATCCTCGCTGCACGTGTAGCGGTTAAACTTATCATGTGCTACCCTCGTGTGTTTGTTTTGGATATTGCCTTGTGGTCTTGTATAAGGGAATGAAGGGAGTACATCTTTAAAAAAAGAGTATATCACTACTAGAGAAAACCATATACACAGAATCTTACCAGTAGCGCGTGTTAAAATGAGGCGCTACTGCTAATTAGCAGTAGCGCTTCTGCCAAAACCGCGCTGCTGTTACCCCCTTAGCAGTAGCGCGGCAGGAACTGAACGCGCTGCTACTATAATTGTCACACCGTTCCCGACGTGCTAGGTATAGTAGTAGCGCCCTTCTAGAAACGGCGCTACTACTACCGATTTTAGCAGTAGCGCGTTTTCCCCTCCCACGCTACTGTTAAATCTATTCTCACCTAACCCCCCGCGCGGCCTGATTCCCTCCTGAGATCTTCCACCCCCAATTCACCACTCTCTTCTCCCCCTCGTCGCCTCCGCCTCGCCGCCGTCTCCCCCGACCCCGCCTCGCGACCGTCTCCCCCGACCCCGCCTCGTCGCCGTC